CAATCCATCATACAAACATACTCGGTATACCGCACATGACAATTGTTAATTTCACAACATTTCATCCTTCTTTCATGTGGGGAGCTCTTTCTCCTTGTGGTTTACGCAAGGGACGCATCAGCAAGTCAGAGCATTGAGGTAAAAACCAATCATATATACTCTTCATTTTGAACTCAATATAATTAATCTTCATATGGTCCAAAAATAATATACTACCTCCGTTTCATATTTTTTGCAACTTTGGGTATTATTTGTGAGATATAAAATATTCCAAAGTAGCAAAAATATGAAACGGAGGTAGTAGATAGTATAAACTAATTCAATACTTGTAGATCTAGTACAACCAAAGGCTAGGCAATTTCATATTTTCAAAACACTTACACTAAATGAAGGCTGGTAATCGGCTGGAGCTCCACCCTTCTCACCACCAAACTCACCGGGTGGACCACGGGGACCTGAACGGTATCCCTCACGGTCACCAAATCTTGGTCGGTCTCCTTCAAACCTGGGTGGTCCACTGTAAAACAGACAGCAAGCCATTAACTTAAAAAAAAAACTCACATCAAACATGAAAACCTTTTCCCGCAAAGGGCATAATACAGAAAAGCAACGAGTAATATCATACCGTGGGCGATCACCACCAGGACCCATGGGACGACCGGCAGGCTTGGTCTGCTTCTTCAAGGTAGCAGGAACAATTTCTGATGGCAAGTTGAGGTAAGTCCTCAAGAACTCAATACCGTCATTTGTCAAGTACCAGTAGTAATGCATCCAGGCAAAGGTCTCACGGACATACTCCTTTGACTTAAAGCTCTGCATGAGCTTAATCACTTGCAGATTTGGCACATCGATGTCGGGGTGTTTTGCAAGATTATAGTCCTTCTTAGCAAAGCATACACCCTCTGAATTTACAAGGCGGCAATTTCAACAAGGCATGTATACCATCAAGCATCATTTGCACATAATACTTTGTATAACACTAATTTTGAAACAGAAATCGCCATTCTAACTCTTACATTACACAAATCTCCATAATTGGCATCAAAAATCAATTAGGGGTATAGTGAAATTAACTCCTAAATGTATCCCAAAAATTCACACCACCAAGAAAGTCAATAAGCAAGTATATAAACAACTAGCAACAAAATTCAATCTCGAAACTGCTATTAGTTAATCCAATTAAGCTCAAATTCATACAAATTAAACCCAAACTGCAACATAAATATTCTATAGCCAATTAACAATTATATGCACATTTCCTGAACAAAGTTCATTTACAACCAAATCCCAATTAAATACATAATCATCAAATTTTCGGAGAAACAATAATTAACAACAAAATAATCAAGTAAAATTAAGCTATAAACACATACAAGCATACAAATTAATAGAAAATTAAGCAATAACAGGACTAAAATTAAATCAAATTGACAGAATAATTTAGATAAAATTCCATACAAAATTTAAGAAGGATAATAACACATACCTTGAAAGAGGTACTTGCAGATCTCCTTACGATTCTTCTCTGGGATAATCTGAAAAAAAAAATCAAAACCAGAAAATCAGCAATGAAAGTAAATGGAAAATGATAAGGTGATAGAAATTTGCAGAAAAATTAGGGTGAGGAGAGGGAAAGAGATGAAGAACTAACCATGGCTGCGCTTGAGATTGAAGAAGCGAGGAAGATGAAACAGAGGCGAAATAAGACTCAAGCAGCAGTGTAAAAGGATCTCCTTCAAAACCCTAATTTTGATTGCGGTTTTATTATGCCAAAATTATTCAGGGCTTTTTAGGGTTGGGCTGGGCCTAGTTGTTTTCAAACCTTTTTTTGTGTGTTGCTACTTGTACAGCTTACTTGAGCTTGTGGTCAAATATTTGGGTCCAAAGATTTTGTTGTTTTTTTTTTTTAAGGATTCCACCCAGTTTATTCTTTGGACTAATCTGGATTCAAGGTTCAATTCTGAGTGGTTAGTTTCTAGTCCCCTTTCAATTGTTGTTACAGGGGATCGAACATGCGGTCTCCCTTACCAAATGCAGCCCCAATCTCCACTGCACCAACAGCCAATTGGTTAGGTCCAAAGATTATACAATACATTATGCATGTTATGTTGGCATGTACTATGTAGCATACTATCTCCGTTACAAGAGAAAGATGTAAGTAGGGTACTTGAGAATATATGGGGTATCCCTATATATATACGTTATAAAAGTGTAAGATAACTCTTATGAATAGTGTGCTACCAACTATACCCTCAACAAATATGTATAAAAATGTGTACAAATATGTGTATTTATATTTTTAACCTCATTAATGTATTTACCTCATTAATGTATTTAATATTTTCTTTTAATAAAACATATCATCAATTAATTCAATATTTTTTTCTTCCCTAAAAAAAAATAAAAAATAAAAAAACTTCTAATGCTTTATATACTTCATAATTCATTTTTTTTTTTTTTTGGTTAAGGTTGATTAGGTTTTGAAATTTACATTGTTAGATAGCACATAAACAACATTATGGAATTATGAATGGGATTCATATTAAATAGTGATATTTGAGCAAATGTTATCAAGATAAAAAAAAAATCCTAAAAAGGGAAATCGATGATGGAAAAAAAAAATTGGTATTAATTATGGGAGAAAAAAAAAATGAAGGAATTTAAGAGGAAAAATGCAACTAAGTGGTTATTGCTTACATTATTAAGTTTTAGCTGTAACATTTCACATATTATTACTCCGCATGACCTAAGTTCACAAAAAAATCATATGTAAAAAAACGCGCTAGAAATATTATACGAATTACTAAGTATTTTTCAAACATGCAAATCAATTAAGTGTTCTAAATTGTACTAACTATTGCCCCTTAATATATGAAGGGATAATAGTGTGATATGAAATGATGCAAATTAGCTAGTTAAATATTATTTAATAATAATTTAGGAATAACACTGTCAAACTTTAGAAGGTTTTGAAATATAATTGTCATAAAAGACTTTGGTGGCTTTCAATCCCTTATACAAAGCCACCACATAAGCAAACCAAATAGTACTTACTAAAACTACAACCCAATTCAAAGATGTAAACACACGCCAATATAACTTATTCGTAAGAACTAGCCCCTCCACGCAATGCGCGCGTAGGCCACCCTGGTTATATGTAAAGATAGTAATGTTAATATTTTATTAAAAAAATGTGAGAAATGTGAAAGGAAAACAACTAACAAGAAGTAGTAGTGGATTTTGAGTGATGATTGTGAGAGGATATAGAAAATTAATACTTCGTATTTAATGAAGGACGGTTAAAATATAAAGGACGTATAATACTTAAAAAAAGGTTGTACAATAAAAGTGTAATACTAACATAATGAAGAGAGTAAAAGTAATTAATTGAAATCTTGTTAGATTTGTCTGGATTTTAATTTTAAAATCAATGCAAGATTACCTCTCAATCCCAATTACATATTTTAGTTAATTTTAAGTCTAAACTATAGAGTGATATGCTAAAAAGCCTAAATTAGGTAGGTTGTAAAATATATTTAAAATCTTTTCCTCAAAACAAAATATATCTAAAATCTTTGTTAAGAAAGAGGGTTTATTATAAACCTCGGTTTTTTTTTAACTTTTAAGGGTATAAAGCTATAAATTAGAGGTGATCAAAGTTGGCCGGCCCGACCCGATTTTAGGTGGATTTTTTGGCCCAAAATCGGGTTCGGCCGACGCGAATTTTTTTTTTTTTTTGGCGGGTTTGGGAATGCTTTTTTTGCATATTTAGTTGATTTTTTAGGCCCGGCCCGACCATTTTGGGCGGGTTTGAGCACAAAAAATTCGGCCCGAAGCTTGGCCCGGCCTGCTCTGAGACATGTGCAAATTTTTTAGCTTCAGCCCGGCCCGGCCCGCCCAATGATCACCTCTACTAGAAATCTATTTGTTTTCTTATTTTTGATTCCATATGCAAGTAAGATAAACTTAATTATCCTCAAAAAAAAATAAGATAAACTTAATTACTCATTTTTTTATTAACAGGAAACTTAGAGGGAAACCTCCACCGGGACCATTCGGGGCTCAGCCCCCCGTAAATTATTGTAATTAATTTTGTTAATGAACTAAAGTAACCTATATTTACTTATAAAATATTGGGATATAGGGATTAGTTTTGAGCAAGAGGTTAAATATTTAAATTCAGGCCCCTCTAATGTTTTCCGTTACTGGAGAAACTTAATTACTCTCTTGCCTTGCCTTTCGGTTCAAGAAATTCACAAAATAAAATTGAGGCTTTTGATTCAAGAAATTTACAAAAATAAGTTGATCAAGGCTTATAAATTTACTGAATCGTACTGATATTTCAACCGACTAGTAAACAATATCATGCATGATATCTTATCTCATCCTAATAATTAGGAAACCAAGATCTATCATAAATTTGGTAATAATTTTTTTTTTGTAAGATAAACTTCCTCCTAACTTGCTAGCCAATATTCTCACCTTTTTACTATATAAATAAGCTCTTCTCTAATCCCCTTAACAAGATACAAATAGAAGTACAACTCTCAAATTCCAAAAAGCAAAAAAAAAAAAAAAAAAAAAAAAAAAAAAGAAAAGAAAAGAGATCGAACATTATTGATCGTAATTCAACATCAATAATGGAAGGAGTAGTCGATAAGTCGTTCGAATTGCTCCATAAGTATGGCATTAAGATTTCTTGTGACCATAATAACCATGATAATGATACCATACCCTCCAAAATTATCATCGAAGCTATTCTCATCTTTGATTATTGTCATGAACCCATGATTTGTTATCGTACAAACGGTCGACGATTGGTGAGTAAGAGAAAAATACCTATAATACCTAATAACGGTCATACATACAACCCTTTTTGCTCTTCATGTAGAGCATCTCTCTCCTACAATTTGTTTGTCTCTAATAAACACGTGCCTAAGAGCCAAGTGATGAAAAAGTTGAATGACATACGCGAAAAGTTATGGAACTTAGCTACGAGCATGGAACTAACCGATGGCATATATGTGGTTGAACTTCTGAATCATGGGATGGTTCGTTTGGGTCCTGAGCGAGTTTGCAATGAAGAGGAGTTCGAGGAGTGGATTGCGGATGGAAACGATGTTGAGGAGGAGGAAATACCATTAATCAACGGGTTGGAAAGGGTTGATATTCATCATGAGGATGATAATAATGGCGAGCTCTTGGAAAGGGAGTGTGTTATATGTCTACAAAGTTTAAAAATAATGGAGATCAAGGAAGGTGACAATGAAAGTCTAAAGGTCGATGATAATGTTGCTACTGATGTTGGTACTATAACAAAGTCTCTTGTGAGGTTGCCTTGCAAACATGTGTTTCATGAGACTTGTGTACTTAGATGGCTCCATACAAATTATGTTTGCCCATTCTGCCGGTTTGACTTGTCTCAACTCGACGCTAGTGATGATTCTGACGACGATAGTGATGATGATTCTGATGATGTTAGTGATGATTCTGATGACGATAGTGATGATGATTCTGATGACGTTAGTGATGATTCTAATGTCGTTAGTGACATTCTGATGACAATAGTAGTGATGATTCTAATGACGTTAGTGGTGTTCCGATGACAATAGTAGCGATGATTCTGATGATGTTAGTGATGATGATTCTGATGAACGATAGTAGTATGATTTAAGGTGTTGATTTTTTTTTTTACACGTTATGTGGTACTTGTATGATTTAGGGTGTTTTTTATTATTTAGGAAACAATTGATAATAGTGAATGAGCTTATTTTTAAAGTGCTTTATTATTTAAATAATAATTACTCAATTGTTACAGAGTAGAGGTGATCAATTGATAAAAAAAATCGAGCCAATGTGGATGCTTTTTTTTCGTTCTTACTCTTACACCAATTTGTATACGGAGTACCAAGTACTTGCGCTATGAGTAACACACTTATGAATGCACAAAATAAAAATAAAAATTTGTATTTTTTTTTTTTTTTTTTTTTTGGAATTTTTACCCATCTACTGAACGTTAGCATAATATTGCAAGTATGCATTTTTGCAACGCACTTCACTCAACTGTTGAAACTGCAACAATGCAACAACTGCAAACTCAAAACCAAATTCATCAACAAAAAATTCCATGGAAATTAAAAATTAAAACCAAAAATTTTCTTCTGAATTTCAACCTTAATTTTAACTCACACAAATCTCCTTTTTCTCTCCTCCTTAATCTTAAATTCCCAAATTTCCATCTCTTCCTCTGCTCAGATTATCAATCTTTTTCTTCAACAAACCCTAAAATTAAACACAAATTTCTCCGATTTTTCAGTAAATTACTACCAAAGAAGTTCAAAAATACCCAAAATTATTCCCAGAAATCCTCTATTAAATCCAAATTCCTCCGATTTTTCAGTCAAGTAGTGCCAAAGAAGTTCAAAATTCCGTCAATTTCTTCCCAGAAAAGTGGCGTCAAATTGCAACCAGTTAAAAGTTTGTGTGTCGCTTTGCTTGCTGCAATGTTGGTATCTTTATTTCGTTATCCTTTGCTCAAGTTTTTAGATTTTGATGAATGTGGGATTTCTGAGTTTCTTGATAATTTTTGGAATTTAGTTGTAAATTCAATGTAGTATCCTCATTAGTGTTTGATTATGATTTGATGCTGTTCTTTAAATTGTTGGTGAATTTGGAGTAGTGTGTGATGTATATGAGAAGTTTCAATGTACCATTTTCGAGTAGGGTTTAAGCTCAATTCTTTAATATCTTAAAGACTGTTGATTTTTGTTTTTATTTTTTAATCTGAAATGTATGCTATACATGATTTTTAAACTATGGTTTTTCCATTGATCGTATGATTTGTATCCTTTGATAATCGTTGTTGCTAATTAATTGGAAACATGAACTTAAAGTGAGGATTTTAATGGAAGATTGAGGCAGGTTTTCTGGAAAAGATTGACATTGCATTTGACTTCTGAGGTTGATGAATATTGCAAAATTACTGAATGGAGTATTGCTTTGCATCACCTTTGGGTAGGGTTAGTGTTTGATGGTTAAATTCCTGAGTGTCCGAGAACGGGGTTTGGTACAAGTGTGCCACATTTGATACTGACCTACTATAGAAATTGGCCACTGCCCAGTTGGTTAAGCATTGGGTATTTGGGTTAGACACCGCTTTCTTATAACTAGGACTTAGTCGAGAATACATTAAGATATATGACACAATATTGATATGAACCTGCTTGCATTGCTGAGTACAACATGGAAATTATGATACTACAAGCCGAATAGCTGAGGATCTTCCTCAAAATTCAAGAGTTGCCTTTTGCGCCGTTGCTTCTTCACCAATAGTACCACCACAGCGCCACTTAACCCATCTCTGCCTCCATATGCTAGCATGGTTTGTGATTGCCTATCTCCTCTGCCTTCATTTTGGCCAACCACACGGCTTCCCTTCTTCCCAAAAGCCAAAAAATTTCTCATTTGCAGCAAAAGTTATGCTGTTTAGTCTTTTCTGATTTCTGACAATTAGGTTGAGTTTGGGAGCAAAAATTATGATACTGTTCCAGCATGATAGAAAGCAGAGAAAGAAATGCATTCTTTCTGCAGATTATGATCGCTTTTTCGTTGTCACTTTATGTGTCTTCTTAATCTACAAGGCCACCATTGAAAACTTCTGCATATTAAACTCCTATATTCTTGTGTTGAGGCTTTATCTGCAGCCAAATGTCAGACATAATTTTATTAAGGCTCAATGCTCTTTTATTCAAGGCTTTTGACTCTATATTTCTGTTTAATATCACTGCCTATTTATGGTCGATTAATTGTTGGTAATCTTACTTCATGGTTGAAATTGGCAGAGCCAACGAAAACATCCAAACTACTAATGCTAGTGTTTTTTCGGTTCAGTTTCTTTTTGGTTTTCCAATGATGCAGTCAAGTTTTTGGTGTGGATTGCCGCAGAATTTAGACTGTAATTGGTTTTATAATTTCAAATTGATTGGTAAAGTTACCTTCGGGTTAGGTTTAATAGTCTAACGTCTAACATATGTATGTCGACGTATCACATATTCACATATGTACTGATGTATTCATGTTATTGGGGTTGAAATGTTATCCTGTTGCTAATGACCCTTCCAATCATATCAACAAGGCCCAGCAAAGTGAATTGATTAAGGGATGGGTGACATCTTCTCCCCGTGGGTTTAAATATCAAGGCACATACACGTCGAGTTCTTCTGTCAATAATATAGTATCTTGCCATGACAGTGACCACATCTGTCATAGTGAAAGGTTCAGCCAAAGTGGTACATCAATGTCTTGACTTGTACGAGTTTGGGGTTCCAAATGTTTGTAACTACATTATATGAATGTGGTCATCAGACAAGACAATAGTTGTTATGAGCTTGATTACTTTGGATTTGTGGAGAAAGCTTTAAAGAATGACTAACCAATTGCAGCACCTTTTGGTTGAAAGTAGCAACTAGCAAGCATATGGAGCAATTATTTGTGAACCTTAAATGTATTAACTGATGATGTTTTTGACCCTTTTTGAGTGATATAACCAGTCAGATTTGAAGCTAATGAGTAATGAACTTTTCTTTTTTTTTTTTTTTTTTTTTTTTTTGGTTATGAGAAAAAGCTAATGAACTATTGAAGCGTACTGTAATCAATCAGCTGATCACCTGTCTCATACTATGTCTCATTATCTCTTATCTTACCCCCAACACCATCATCTGTGTTCAGCAATAATATTGTACTCTGTGTTCTAGACTCCTAGGTTTGTGTCTTGACTATGTCTCAAAATTAAAAGGGATACAGGACGGAATACATTCAATGTAAGTAGGGACATATAATCATGACTCCCAACGTAGAGGTGGCAATTAGGTCATTTTTATTGGTTTCGAGCCATCACCTATTGAGTTTGAGCAGTGTCCAAACGGATTGAGTCGTGCCAGGATAAGATATGTTTGGGTTGATTTTGGTTTCAACTCTAGCGTCAATATGGCTTTCAGGATTAAAAATGATTACTATTATACTAGACACTATGATTGTCGAGTCAATTATAAGTAGGTTGGATCTCTAGTCAAATGATTTCTTGTTGGGTTGGATATATCAAGTAGTGATCAATCTTACCGAGCCTACTCTTAAGACCTAAGAGTCTTAACAAGTTGTGTTTGCAGTGTGCACCTACAATCCCAAACAAAAGAGTTGGATTATACAAGTAAATTGAAAAGGCCACATGGTCCTCGAGGTTAAAAAAGGCCCAACTGTATTTGCAAAAGTTGGTTAAAGCAGAAGAAGAGAAAAAAAATGTCGTCGCCTGAGAGATTCGAACTCTCGCGGGGAAACCCCATGTACTTAGCAGGCACACGCCTTAACCACTCGGCCAAAGCGACTTCATGTTTATTTGAGTATCTTAAATTATTTATTGCTTATGAAGTACAACACTGTGTCATTCTGTGTTCGAATATGTTTGAGATTTTTCATGAATGGCACAATCAACATTCAACATTGCCTAGTAGGAACTTAGGATCTAAAACAAGTCTTTTAAAAAAGTGTAAGTTGAGGAATGAATGCATTATACTCCCTCTATTCTTATTTTTTTGCCTCATACTTTATTTTAGATGTCTCTTAAAGATTGCCCCTTTTACTAATATAGTTACACACATTTACCACTAAACCCACTTGCACAAACTCAAAAAAGTGAAAAAGACATATACACCCTAATCTACTTGTAGTCTTTTGGTTCATTTCTTAATAAAGCACATTTTGCCTATAGGGCAAACAAATAGGGATAGAGGGAGTATAAAACAAACATTAAGAGATGGAGGAAATAAGATGATACTATCTTCATCCCTTCTTGCATGCCCCATAATAGCATATTCACTTTATCACGTTATGTATGGTAACATTGATGAGAGTGAATGTTGTGGGACTAAAAATATACTTTCAAGAGTGAATGATAAAAAGGCCTAAAATAAGGTGCTAAGTCCAATTTCAATAAGCCTTGAATAATTTTTGTCTACGCTAACTTGATTTAATTTTGGCAATAATAAGTTAAAGAGAATAATAAGTCCATAGTCATACCGAGCACATTCAAAGTGAAAATCAACTAAAAAATATAGAGTCAATTTTTAAAAAGGCAAAAGCTAACGAGCGTTCTCAGAGCGTAAAATAAGAGAACTAAAAGTGAAAATATTAAAGTAAAATTAACATTAATTACATTAATCAATGCGTAATTTTATCATGCATTTCAAACTTAATATTATTTCAAGTAATATATTAAGTAGTTATCTACCCATTATCCAGAACATTTGTTAGCAAGATGCTTTAAAAACACGGTAGAAGTATTAATTTTAATGCCGAAGGTAACTAAAGATTTGAATAACTACAAGCCGTCTCAAATTCACAATGGCGTCATGCTCAAGTGAGTTGTACATAAAATCCAAAGACTATGTAAAACATCTTAAACAAATTTTGAAATTTAGCACGAAGTGGGTCCCACTTTTAGAAGAGGATCATACTACTTCAATTGGGGCCGACTAACACTTTCGTCTACAATCAGAATATACCTTGCACGCGTGCTACCGCGCGTGAGGGTACATATAATATCATTATAAAA